TTTAAGCATGTAAGTTGCATAAATTGAACGAAATTTTCTTGATTTCGAAAAAGTAAGAGATGAAGTCTTTGTCAATGCAAGGATTTTATCGAGCTAGAAAAATTGCTATCGATAAATACTATATTCAAATTAATTGTATAATTCTTATAAAAGAATTGGGTGCATGCTCAAGTAGTTCATAGCACCTTTAAGAGCCTAATTGAGGAGGCTTGGCTGATATCTTTTGCACCTTTGTATGTTTTGTACAATATCGTTGCCAGTCCTCGAGGGCCATTTTAAGTTTAGCTGTAGTTGCTGAAAATGGGATCACAGGGTATTGCAAGCCAATGGCTTCCGATGGCTATGCCTTGGTTTTAGCTATTCTTTGAAAGGTTCCATGCAGGATAAGTATGCAGGCTTGCTATTGCAGTATGTACGACTTTCAAAGTGTTTATATGGATGATAATACCGTTACGATTTTTATTTTCTTTTCCTTGTTTTTCTTGTGTAGTGGGTTATTGGGGGCATATGGAGGCATTAGTGCATCGTAGTATTGAAATGAACTAAGGTTGTTGAGACCCTATTTAATAAATGTTGGCTGCTTCCTGTTATTTTACGTTGGCACTAATTTCATCCTCTCTTTCGTTTATCTTGACTGCTAAAGGCAATAAAAAATTCTCTTGCATTTCAGATTCTTGACTGTTTACTGGGACACAATGAGGCGTTGTTTAGGCGTGCACAATTAAAGGCTCTTGTCTCCATCCACAGTCTGGAGGTATGTGAATAAGTTTGCTGCAAAGTTCTTTAAATTCCATTATTTTTAAAATTTTTAAACCTCAGTTCTTGTGTATAGGCTGGAAAGGGTGGCGAACTCACCCACGATGAAACAACAATCATTAGTGGTGCTCTAGATTTAACTGAAAAGGTAGCTGCTGTTTAATGCATCGACTTGTTTATCTTTTACTTCTGTTGGATAGTTTCTTTATACACCCTCCCTCTAAACTGTTTCTTATTAGAGTTGTTTCATATCTAATTTGAACAGACAGCTGAAGAGGCTATGACACCCATTGAATCAACTTTTTCTTTGGATGTAAATTCAAAATTGGACTGGTAAGGGTGCTCTTAAGTTTTGGCTCTCACCATTTTATAATTTCTTAACTTCAACGGTGGTGACTGCTGAAAAATTTACCTTTTGAAATTAGCTTTTACCTTTGTCTTTGTCATTATAATAGTGAACATTCACAGTATCAGCTATTGGCTCCTAGTTCCTTCAATGTATATACGGTATAGTTGGTAGTTCTTGAGTTTAATTGTCTCCTAGGGAATAATTATTTACGGCACTCCAGATGGTTGCCCAGCTAGATAAAAAAATGTTGGTAGTTCTTGTTTCTTGATCATTTCCCAGTAATTTTTAAAGGAGCATGTACGTTAATATCTGGATTTTTTTTTTGTGAATTCTTATTCCTACTTTTTTCGATAATCTCGTATTATTTGGAGTGAGTTTCTGAGCTTTTTAAAGATACTTTAGGGAGTATTTTTCAAAGATTGTATTCTCAACATTTTTTTGAACAAATAACTCAGGGAAGCAATGGGAAAAATCCTTGCTCGTGGTCATAGTCGAGTTCCTGTCTATTCTGGGAATCCAAAGAATGTTATCGGGCTTCTACTGGTAGGCATTACGATAATCATGAATAAAAAAAATTGTATTTTCCTGTTCTAGATTTTGCAATATTTTCTTTATAGCCTATTAATTTCTTCATTTCTTTTGGTTCAACTCTTTACCCTTCTGGAATCAGGTGAAAAGTCTTTTAACAGTACGACCTGAAACGGAGACCCAAGTCAGTGCGGTTTCCATTCGGAGGATTCCCAGGTGTGTTTGCTTTTTTGCTGCTCGCACCCCCCTCCCCCCTCCCCAACCAATTTCTGAGAAACATTTTTGAATTGTTTATTTACTTATTTGTTTGCTTATGAATGTCAGGGTCCCCTCGGACATGCCTCTTTATGACATATTGAACGAATTTCAGAAAGGGAGTAGCCACATGGCTGCTGTGGTGAAAGTAAAAGGAAAAAACAAGGCTCTTCCTCCTACATTGGATGGAGAAGAATCTGAGGAAAAGAAAGGCGTGGAATCCCAATTGAAAACTCCTTTGCTACGTAAGCAGGACGAGAATTCAGATAATGTAGTCCTTGATATCGATAGAGCTTCCAAGACTTCTGGCATAAGTAGCCAACCTTCTTACCGACGCAATGATGCTTCTTCTATAAATGGGTTAAACCATTCTTCAGAGGACATAGAAGATGGTGAAGTTATTGGTATCATCACCCTTGAAGATGTATTTGAAGAACTTTTGCAGGTAAAATTTCTCCCTCTTCTCTTTGGATCATAATGTTACCTATCATTGTAAACTATACCGTAACATTTCTTAATTGATGCAGGAGGAGATTGTTGATGAAACGGATGAGTATGTTGATGTGCACAAAAGGTATTGTACAATCAATACTTTTAATTAGTTCATCGGAACCTACGACGCTACTAATTAAATGTTCTTGATTGATTTATTTCAATTATACTTTTTGCAGAATTCGTGTTGCTGCAGCTGCGGCTGCTTCTTCTATGGCAAGAGCTCCATCAATTAGGAGATTAACTGTTCAGAAGGTAGCAGTTTTTATCTCATTTTGATATACATTCCACAAGTATCATGTTTTTGTTTTGAATTGTTCTGTTTGGAATGGTATCCTTTTACCAGCAGGTTAAACTGCCATATTCCTAGGTCCTTTGTGAGCATTAAGGGGGTCGGATTGGTTTGATCGAATACCATCTATTTGTTGCTTTAAACTTGTACTTTTAGTTAAGGAGATGAATCGAGGTAGATCAATTCTATCGTTAGTAATTCCAGAATATGCTCCCAGTAAAGGGGAAAATATCAAATAAATCTAGGAGCTCAAAATTCCTTGTAACAGCTCATAGGCCACCGCGAGTTGATATTGTCCTCTTTAGACTTTTCGCTTCTCCTCAAGGTTTGAAAAAGCGTCTGCTATGGAGAGGGTCTAGCCCTACTCTGACTAGTGCCTGGCACCGTCCAGTGACCGGCTCCTTTACTATTTGTAACAGCCCAAGCCCACCGCTAGCATATATTGTCTGTTTTGGCCCGTATCGCCGTTAGCCTCACGGTATTAAAATGCGTCTATTAAGGAGAGATATTCACACCCTTATAAGAAATGCTTCGTTCCCTTCTCCAACCGAGGTGGGATCTCACATTCCTTGACCTTCCCTTTTCTGTGTGACCTTCCCTTTTCTTTCTTTTGTTGTTGGAATTCAACTGGGTGAGGATTGGATGGTCAAAGGTTACAGTGTCTTGAGTTATTGAGCTTTTCTCAGGTTAGCCCTTTGACCATTTTCTTACATGGTACATTATGCTAAAATTTGATTACATGCCTCAATGTACATCATTTATAATAGTTTTTAAATTGTCCTTCCTTCTGTAATTTATCAGGGAGTTCAAACTAAGCAAGCAAGCTCAAACACCAAAGAAATCCACCGAGGATGAATCAAATTCTGCAAAACTTCCAGGAGGAACTTCTTATAACAAGTCTTGAAGGTTTAGGGTTCAGAGCCCCTTTCTTTCTTCCATGATGAACAAGCTCAGGTGAACTACAAAACCTAAAACTTAAGCCCACCTTGTATGTAAATTTTGATTTTTTTTTACCTTTCATTGAAACTGATGACGGTGTTATATGTTGGGATCATCAAATTTTGCCCCCTCTCATCATCATTACCCCTTGTGTCTTCTTGATCTTTTGGTCTGATTTTCTTTCCTGTACAAATTAAAACTTCTGGTATGGCAGTTCATTTGGTCTTGTTATTTAGGGTTCTTAGCACATGAACCTCCTAAAAAAAATTTTAAATTCTTGCGTTTGGAAAAAGGCTGTAATTTTCAACCCTACCCACCCCAATTTTGGCTCTCCCAATCTTTACTTATTTTTTGTAATATTCTTTCAAAACTTTCGAAGAGTATAGTAGCATGGAATAATTCATTTTCTGCTTTGTTCTTTACAATTTTACATTTTAATTTTATTTCTCACTTTGTTTTAGTTCATTTATCCTAACTTTTATTATTTTCTTTAATTGTTTATTTATTTATACTCTTTGTTTTGTTTGTTATATAAATGCTAGTTGTTCAATCATATAATATTCTTATTTTTCGGTGGCTTAATCATTAACCGTGTTTGACTTAAAACAATTTTTTGTTCGGTGACCTCTTAGCTAAAATGACCGTGTTGGTTTCTGGGAATATTTTTCACTCTTAATACTGTTTATTGATAAATGTTGTGGAAATGAAAAAAAGAAAATCTCGATGAAAATAGTTCTTTTAGAACTCAACAATCGCGGGAATGAAAATCGAATCATCAACCTCTAACACGTTTAATGTTGTAACTATTCGGCTAAAACGAATGCTAATAGAAGAGGCCCAATAACCTTGTTGGGCTAAGTGTAAGGCCTGGATCGAATCCAATTTGTAGGAGTCAGCCCAAATAACCTTATTGGGCCCAGAGTAGGGCCTGTATCGAAGTCCATTAGTAGGAGTCAGCCCAAATAACCTTATTGGGCCCAGAGTAGGGCCTTTATCGAAGTCCATTTGTAAGAGTCGGCCCAGATAACCTTATTGGGCCCAGAGTAGGGCCTTTATCGAAGTCCATTAGTAGGAGTCAGCCCAAATAATCTTATTGGGCCCATAGTAGGGCCTTTATCGAAGTCCATTAGTAGGAGTCAGCCCAAATAGCCTTATTGGGCCCAGAGTAGGGCCTTTATCGAAGTCCATTTGTAGGAGTCAACCCAAATAACCTTATTGGGCCCAGTAGAAGGCCTGTATCGAATCCCATTTGTAGGGGTCAGCGCAAACTATATGGGTATAAAATTGAAATTTCAATATAATAGAGGAGGCCCACTAATCTTATTGGGCCCAGAGTAAGGCCTGTGTCGGTTCCCTTTTGCACGCATCAGCGCACACTTTAAAGCCCAGCCCATCTACCCGCGCAAAATTTCCAGAAGTGGAAGTTCCATCAAGTGCGATCAAATCTTTCATTTCGTGATGACACGCGAAACTGAATTACAGTCTCTGCAAGACAAGAAGAGAAAGAAGAGCATCATGCAGAATTCTTGAGGTCGAGAGTAAAGCAATTTCTTGCTTGTTTTCGTGTTGTGCATTTCTCACATGCGGTTTCTGCTCCTCCATCGTCTCTGGAATCTTGAGGTGCTCCGCTAGGCTTGCATACTGCGGCCTGTTCGGAGTTTCCTTGGTGGTTTCATGGGTTCTCAGAGAGTTCGCAGCTCCTCTGACGGAGAAGATGCCATGTGAGTTTCATCACTTGCTTTAATTTTCTGTTATTCTAGCCGATTTTCAATTGTTTATTCGTACGTTCGATTTTCTTGGCTTCTTATGCTGAATATTGCGAGTGTCGTTATTGTAGCGATAGATTGTGGTTTCAATGATTCGCGAGCTTAATTTTTGGTTGTTTTTTTGTGTGCTATGTTGATTCCGAGTTTAAATCAATCGCAGTATGCTCGTCGGTTGTGAATTACGGTGTTTTCTGTAATTTTGGTTAAATGTGGCAACTCATTGCATCGCTGGGACCTCGGTCTAATTTTTCAAGGAATGATGAATTCACTCGAGAAAATAGGATACTTGAATTTAGAATTATTGTTGTGGCGGGCGGTTATTGAATGTATCCGGGATCCATATAGGTTGAAATGGAAGTTGGTTAAAGTTTTGATTAGTCAAAGAAGCAAGTCGTCTCTCAATTCTCAGGTTCTTTCAAAAAGAATAGAAAAGGTCATCTCCCAAGTTGAGTAAATGTCAGTTTGTCTCTTCTAAAAGTACTAATAAATAATAGGTAGACTCCCTAATTGGATCGAATAGGATCATCTTACTACAAATTTGTTTTAAAGTTCTTGGAACAAATACTATCCATTCCATAATTGATCTAAATAGGTTATATTTACTATTGTTTTCACTCTCTAATGCTACCTTATGCTTTCTATTTATCTTCTTAAATCCAGTAGTATTTAAAATTAATGGCAACTAGAGATATTGTCTTCTTTGGGCTTTCCTTCAAGATTTTAAAACGGGTCTACTAGGAAGAGATTTCCACATCCTTATAAGAAATGCTTCGTTCTCCTCTCCAACCGATGTGGGACCTCATACGAAAAGTGATGGTTAAATGTTATGAGAAGTATCAGGGCATCTGTACATATCGTGAATTAGAATTTGCAGGAGATATGATTGAATTAAACTTAAAAGCGAAGCATAAAAGATTTGATTGATTCTAAGGCTGACTTGAGGCTATTAAGTTTATGAAATGGTGCTTTCTGGAACTGTGATCCTTAAGATTCCAAAGTCACTGGCTAATTTCGATGTTATATGATGGAAATGCCAATGGTTCTATATTCTTCATTTTAACTTTTTAATAATCTCAGTTATGATTTTTGTCTTCGTAGATGTATAGAATGAAGATTCATGAACAAGATCAATAAAAAATTCTTCTGATATTGAGATGCAGTGTAAGAAAGAGAGGGAATTGAGTTGAGAGAACTGTTGTGTAAGGAATTCCTTACACTTCGTGCAGATACCTAAGACTAAACTTTCAGAAGAGTTGATTACGAATTGAGTAGCTTAAGGAAGAGGACTTGCAAAGTTTATTTGAAGAACATTTAGTAATATCGTATATTTGTACAAATTATGATTGCATCACAGGAAAAAAAGGGGAGAATATTTGGAACTCTGAATTTTTAAGGGGAAAAGATTGTTCAGTGCTGACATTATTGGCTTCTAATTTCTCATTGTAAGATCAGGTGGGATAACCTCTTCTCAAAGCAGAAGGACTTGAAGGATGGAAAGAACAAAAGGAATGAGAGGGAAAGGGAAAACCTGTCAGTTACTCCTATACATTCTTCCACCTGAGCTATGCTATGGCTGGGTTAGCCTGAATGAGAGCTCGAACCTTGTAGACATTGGCTGGACGTCGGTTTGGGAACGAATCTGCCCAGAGTGGGTCACTTCTGCTCTATATATTTGGTCACTTGTCACCCCTCCCACCATCAATTAAGATAGAGGAATGGAGCATTCCTTATAAGGTGTGGAAAACCTCTCTCTAACAAACGTGTTTTAAAACCTTCAGGGAAAGTCTGATAGGAAAAGCTCAAAGAGGACAATATCTGCTAGCGGTGGGCGTGGTTGTTACGCATTTTTCTTGATCGTGAGTTCTTTTACGTCTGTCATTCTGTTCCGAGTGTATGATTCACATACTTGACTTTTGGGCATCTTTTTAATTCCTTACCCATTCTGCTTGTTTTTCAGCATCCTTTGATGCTCTTTTAATAGTGGTATTGTTTCTACACCAAATCAAATATTTATTTATAATATCCAAATGGATAAGCTTTCTCTTTCACCTTTTACTTTATTTGCCACTTGTTCAAAGTTGAAATAGAAAATTTGATTTTCTTTAGGTATTTTGAATTGATTTCCAATTTTATTGGAATCTTTAAATGGTTATTACCATTTAAAAAAAAAAAAAGAATCACTTAAAATCATTTAAAAAAATTTTAAAAAATTTCCAGATCAAACTTTTATGTTTTATTTATTGAACTTTTTTTTTATAAAGTATGATATAATCTTCTACAAAAAAAAAAAAAAAAAAAAAAAANTGTTTTATTTATTGAACTTTTTTTTTATAAAGTATGATATAATCTTCTACAAAAAAAAAAAAAAGAAGAAAGAATATTAAATTACAAAAGCCAAACAAAAAAATCCCTAGAAGTTAAAAAATTTATGTATAAATCATTTTTGTTTAAAAAAAACAAAAAAAAAACATTCATTTTAAAAAATAATAATTAAAATAAACATCTTCCCTCATTTTAATTACCTTTATTTTTAGAGAATCATTAATTAATTTAACATCACGTGAACGCTTGGAAGCTCAATAGTCCAATTTAATTTCACTTTATTTCATTTACTTTTCCGCAAATAATAATAATAATAAGCCTTTATTTATTATTTTTCGTTGGAAACGAAAGTAGATGAAAAAATATATAAATAATATATCGTCTTTCACCATTCTCAGCCACTCTCCTCCGTGGCGCGTGTGTGATCCTCAAGCAGACGGTTCACGTTCGCCGGTCCGTCACCACCACTTCGCTAACGTGCGCCACTCTTCTTCTTCTTCTTCTTCTTCTTCTTCTTCCTTCTCAATCTTTCTTTTCTCTCATAGTCCCCTTTTTACAGGAAGATCCCTAATTTTGCCCTAATTGTGAACTCCATTCATTCCAATCTCTAACTGGGCTTTCTATAGAACATGCGCAATCTTCTGGTTCCGACAACCGCCATGCCTCCGTCCTCAATTCTCACCTCATCGTCGTCAATTTCCAAATCCAAGACTTGTGCAAACCCTAGCCCTAGCAATTCCCTTCTCTGTAAACACTCTCCATCCGCAACCCTTGATCTTCTTATCCTCATTCTCGTTCTGTTTTCCGGTACCTTTCTTGTAACGTCATATTTCTCTTACATTTTCAACTCTCTTTCGATTCTCTTGTCGTATTCGGCCCTGCAGCTTCCTCAATTTCCGTTTCCGTTTATTGTTGGGTTTTTGTTGTTTTTCTGTGTGATTGTTGGTGTGTTTGAGATTTGTTGTGGCGCTAGATCGAGGAAATGCGCGAAGCCGGGATGTAAAGGGTTGAAGAAGGCTATGGAGTTTGATCTGCAATTGCAAACGGAGGAGTGTGTGAAGGGTGGGTCGAAGGAGATTGATAAATTGCCGTGGAAGGGAGGTAGTGAGGCCAACCCGGATTATGAGTGCTTGAGGTCCGAGCTGAGGAAGATGGCACCACCCAATGGTCGAGCTATTTTGCTCTTTCGGGCGCGCTGTGGCTGCCCCATCGCGAAGCTTGAAGGCTGGGGGACTAAGCGCGGGCGGCGGCATAAGAAGTGAGTTCATCTTTTGTGCCATTGATATTTTTTGGAATTGGTTTTTTGCTCTAATCATTTTTAAGGCTTGAATTCTTTGGCTCTCTTGTTTTTTATTCTGGAATTGAGTTCTTTACTGCTGAAATTATCCCGATCTCCTCCTCCTCCTGAATAAAACTCTTAACACTAAAGAAAATTGATAAGGGAAAAGTCTGTATCTGAAATTAGATAACATTTGCTTAAGATATTTGTGGCATACATGAAACTTTTGACAAATTGAGGAGAAACTCCTTCCCTTTTCTGATATTGCGATTGTTAAATGGTCTTATGAGCAATTTCATGGAAGTGGGACTAAGGAAGAGCGAAGAGGAAGCATTTTTCTGATTCAGTTTGGTAAATCAATGCTTGTTCCTTTTCGTATATTGATTTCTCAAAAAGAAAAAAAAAAAGGGGTTGAGTTGATCAATTTCCGTTGACAGGAATCAGGACTTTTAAGTACTTGCAGAGTGCATCACAGTTCTGAACTGAATTGTTAAAAGAAACTAGTCGTTTAGCTGTCTTAGCATCTTGGACTTGTAACTGATACTGCCAAGTTTTCAACATGTGTGTATCCATACCTATTTCTTCATGGAATTCCAACTAAATCCACAGGATCTGAGACTCTAGGTAGATGTTCAAAGTTCAATCATTTATCTTTTTCGGTTGAAAAATTAACCGATGCTGAACTCTGAAATATGTGTTCGTGTAGATTTTGTGAGGGATTTGTAGGTTTGGATTGAATTGATTTACATGTTGGCAAGTTTTTGTTACCCTGTTTTGTTTCTGAGCTTGTATGTATGTTCATACAGTTCTCATTTGGTGTAGTACTTGCATTTCTTTTATTCTTCTCCTTATTGACATCTATTGAGGAGATGAATCTTGCCTTGTCTGGTTGACTAGGACAAATTGTAGAGTTTATAGACACTTTCCCTTGATTTATTGAAGATGTTTATCTTTTTACCCATTTAAAATGACATAAGTTCTCCTAAATCTTGGGTCCACTCTTCAAGTTAGTTAATTTATTTTTTAGTGGGAAGCTATGCAAGAAAGTTTCGGGGGCTTGGTTAGCATACCCCAAGTAATTTGTTTCTGGTGAGCGATTATTGCTCGGTTGAAGCACTGATGTTCTCGTAGTTGCTAAGTAACTAAATTTATGTGTACATGGTGTCCAGCTCTAGTTGGTGCTTATATTGCTAACTTTATCTGATTTCCTTTTTTTTGGTTTAATTTAGAGTCATATGCGTGATTTACATCATAGGCAATACCTAATTGTTTTAATTGAACCCTTGCACTGCCATTAGGTTAATTTATTATTTGCACTTTCAACTTTGGTTCGTTTTGGACCTTTGCACTTTCAAAATGTCCATTTTCATTTTATACTTTCAAGTTTTATACTTCAAAAGAATCTCCTATACTTTTTAAAGTGACCATTTTGGTGTCTATAGACAAAATTCTAAGACCAATGAAAACCATTTAATACTACAAAGTTATTGTGAGATCCCACATCGGTTGGAGAGGGGAACGAAGCATTCCTTATAAGGGTGTGAAAACCTCTCCCTAGCAGACACATTTTAAAACCTTGTGGGGAACTTGGAAGGAAAAACCCATAGAGGACGATGCTAGCGTTGGGCTTGGGTTGTTACAAATGGTATCAGAGCCATACACCTGACGAACCTTTTAAGGGTGTGAAAACCTCTCCCTTGTAGATGCGTTTTAAAACCGTGAGGCTGACAGCGATACGTAACGGGCCAAAACGTACTATATTTGCTAGCAGTGGCATAGACTGTTAACTAGTTACATTTCGAGGAAGTTATGTAGGATAGTGCTAAAATTTTGAGAAAAAAGAAAATGAGGGGACCAAAACACTTTTTTCCAATGTATAGAGAACAAGTACAAGGATTAATATGGACAAAAGCTGAAAATACAGGATCATAATGGACAGCTTGAAAGTGTAAGGACCAAAATAAACAAAAGTTAAAATGACATAATTAAAACAGTATTTCAACCCATTTCTTC